ATGTTAAGGATTAATCAATAATACTTAATCATACTATTTGATTGCCTACATATATTGTTTCATCATTTTTAAGCAATCACCTTGAATTAATAGAATTAAATTTACTTTTAGCCCACAAAGATAATAAATGTTATGGTTCAATGTTCAAAGCTTTGTCAAAATACTAAATTGCTTCAAAATAATCATTCATCAAATATAATTATAATCCTAAGATTTACTATCTCTATCATACCTTTTCCATATAATCCTAAGCAAGTTTATTTAAGAGTTAATGAATTATTCAAATTAATTAATGCGTCTTCGTTCTTTCCTTAATACAATAGACATATTCCTTTTGATTTTTTAATATAATTATAATACCTCTTCCTGCATATGCCTCAGCATGATTAGCATCCATATTTAAAACTTTATTAAAACTATAAGTTGCTTCTTCATATCTTTCTATTTAGGTTAGACAATCTCCTAAATGAAATGAGCTTATTAATTACCTTAAGAATAGAAGTACTCTTTTTTGGATGAGTCTATCTTAATAGCTTTTGTATAGTACTACAAGGCTTCTTTAAATTAGAAAGTATCTTGTAAGCATTCACCTTTAAAAATAAAAAAAATTAAACCTATCTCGTATTAAGTTGCTGATATATTTGAATTTATAATTATGCATTTTTCATAATTCTATCTAGCTTGATAATAAAATCTTTATTCTCTTAAGATATCACCTAAAGTTTCAAAATTCAATTACCTATTTTCTACAAAGATTTTTCATGTGTTGGATTAATTTTTAGTATATCTTTGTATAATTTTAATGTATTTTCAAACTTATTCAACATACATAATGAATTTCCTTCAAAATAATTACAATTACTAACCTTTTTAGTACATAAATTTAATATTATATGGTTCAGTTTACAACAACTTATCAAATAGTTCGATGGCTTCAGTTTATTATTTTGAGATACTTAATTAGATACCTAATAGAATATAAATTAAATCCAAACCTTTTTGATATTCTTTTTTTATTGATTGTAATTTATTAATCAGTGATTTAATATGTAATCAGGTGTAATTAATTTTATTATAATTCTAATTAAATCAAGAGAGGATTCTAGCATTTATTATAATTGATTAGGCTTAAAATCATCAAGCTTATCTTTAAATACACAGAACTTGTATAATAAACCAGATATGAATTTATCAATAGATTAAAATATTGGTTAGTGTATTAATATTCTAATATAATGTCCTTTGTATGTGTTGATTTTTAAATTAAAAACGTTTTCAATTCAAGAAAGCTTTAAACATCTTCATCGAAATGTTGAATATGTTTCTTCTATTTTTGGCATTTTACACAAAAAAATCTATTTTCCTAACACTCACTTAATTTACACCAGAAAAGAATATTTTCTTAAGAGTGATCCTTACATTTATAATCTAGTATTTATTGTTTATAAGAGACTTAATTTAAATCTTAATTATTTAAGATTATATTTGAAAATTATTAATATCAGACACTCATAAATATTAAAAGGCATTTGAAGAAGAATAATGAATTATAACTATAAATATATTAGTATTTTTGAAGATGATCATTTCTGAAAGAGTATTATTTTTGATATAGTTATTATAATAAAGTTGAGAAACTTTTGAGTAGATATATTAAGTATTATAACGAATATTTTTTAATAAATATAAGATTGGAAAATTGGTATAAATATTTACTTGAAAAATTCTAATTTTCAATTTGAATTTATAATCATCATTTTATTAAATATTCATCTGGTTTAAATGGTAATTTGAAAAAGAATGAAATAGATAATATTTTTCATTCAGCATCTTCATATGTTTACGAAAATATTTCAATATCAATAATTAATATTGAATAGTCAATTAATTGAAAAAATTTCAATATTTATATATGAATATTGAGTGAGAAATAT